TCGTTAAAAAGATGAATTTAAAGATAAATTTTAAAAATAAGATAAAAATTTTACGGGGAAAACAAAAAGAAATCGTTAAAAAACAAGCTAAAAATAACACACAAAAAAGGATTCAGCATTCAAAAAATATAAAAAGGAATATCACACAACATTCATTCAGTCATAACTTTTAATAATTCAACATTAAATGTTAAGTCTTCCCGGACTGTCATTCCTTATGCTTTTAACTATAGATAGCAACTGATCCACTGAATTGTGTAATTCTTTCACCTCCTCAGATAATGGCTTGATCTGATTTTTAACATCAACTTTAGTTGCCTGTCAGTGAGGAATGATAACAAGTTATTTAAAACTAGGTTTGCAGGTGGTACACTCACTAGAGGCTCAGTTGTATTAGTTGCTTCAGTCTTGAAATGATCAGTATAGCCAATCATCTGTTTAATAAAACTGTTTTGCTTGTTAGAGTTTGGATGAATTACTGTTTCTTTGTCAACAGCAATTATTAGTTTCTTTTTCCATGATTCCAACAAATTCATAGGCAAAAGTTTTCTTTTTTCAGCAAATGTAAATATTGAGTGCAGAAAATTCTCCATAGGTAGAGTAAACTCCAACTATATAAAATACATTATAAGAATAAATCGCTATATAGAGTGAGTTATTTACATGGGTTTGTGGTTTTAGGCACATCATGATGTATTCTACTAATTACAGTCAGGTACATGTACCATCCAGTTCATAACAGGCTCTGTAACTTACTGGCCTCCACAAATAAGACCACAAAATTAGAGCTATGACAATACCCCCCTCTAATGTATGTCTACATCATCATCAGTTCTTACTCTTAAACGTAGTCGGTATGTATCAGATTTTTTTTCTATCTCTTGAACTATATCGCCAACAGCTAAACTAGTCTATACAAAATGGAATAGTAAGTAGATGGAGTAAAAAAATATAACCATACCAGTAGATTAAGGAATAAGATCGGCATCAAAACTACAAATAGAATTAATAGTGAAAATGCAGCCACTGGATACTGTACATCAGGTAAATTAGGTTGGTTATCTTGGTGCAATAACGAATCTATCCTTAGATGTCCTGCTGCCATTGTCATCGTCTTATAAACAGTCCTCCATGGAGTGTTAAATGGAGTACGCTACAGAAAAACATAAAAAAGGGAGAGAAGAGATAGTCACATTCAGATAAATTATTCTTACTATTCCTTCTGATATGTCTTGAGCATCATAAAAAATCATGTAAAAAGGAAATGCAAATGCAAAGACCAATAATAAGGCAAGGACAATAACCTTCCTAACTAGATTATAAAAAATTGCCAGATACATAACCACATATATTCCAAATATAGGCAGCCTTCTGATAGTGAATATAAGTGCAATCCAACTGAAAAATACAGCAATCACTCCAATCTGCCACTGCCATGACTGAGTACAATAGCACTGGTTGCTATGTACAGAAGCTGCAAATAT